GCTCGTTTAAGAGTTCGGTCGGAACTGCCTCTTGACGGTATATTGCGGTAGATTTATACGCTTCCAAAGCGATGGGAGAGGATTCGGTTTGGTTGCGCAGCGCACACCCTCTCTTTTTTTTTCAGAATACGTAGGACGGAAATCTAGAACGAATCCACTGAGCTGGCGGATCGGTTTGATGATGCGGTGTTGATTATCTACCTAGTTTGAGCGGTTTCGGGATTTTTGCTTTAAAAAATGAAATCAGCGACCTTGGATTAGTCGAAAACGAGATACAACTCGAAATTTTGGTTCGCGCATGCGCAGACCGATTTTGTCAGAAATAGGGGATTTCGGCTCAATACGGCAAAAACCAACCATATCCCATGGTTAAACTTACGGACGGACCGCATTGGTTGAAATTCACCATCCCTGGGGCGGACGGTAGGCATGCACAGAACAGTCCAAATTAGAGCGGTCAATCTTTTGGCGAAATGCGGGCTGGAAGTTCCTTTGAAACGGTACGGTACGGTTATCCCAACGGTCGGTCACCAAAAGGATCGGCTACTCGGTAAAACGGGGACGTATGATGACGTAATCTCCTCGATCTTATGCTGATGTGCAGAACGGTCTAAGCGGTCACAGCGGTCAAAGCGGTTAAAGCGGTTAGAGCGGTCAGAAATGTCAGAGCGGTCCCTGCTCGGGCGCCAAATTTGTAACGGGTTTTCCTAGGTTTTTCCTTAAGCTATAGTAGCTTAACGGTCGGTATTTATCTTTCGGTTAATCCAGCGGTAATCTCGGGCGCCACCCTCAGGATTAAAGTGGTTGAGGGCCCACTAGCACCAGGTAGCTTGTTACAGTGGAGAAAGAAAAACCAGGGGTCAATGCTCAGACAAAGGAATAAAACAATTATGGGTAGATAATCAACAAATAAACTATTTATTACTCATTGTGTAATAACAAAGGAAAAGAATAATGAAAACTCAAATATGTTGGATAATACCTTAACCAAATTGTCCCTAAATTATAACAGCTCCTCATAGAGCAAAGTGTACGGGTAAAAGAGAGAGAGAGAGAGAGAGAGAGAGTGGTCGTGTGTGCGGTCGATTACGGTACGGATATCAGCGTAAAAGCGGAAAGCGGTAAATATACAGTTACGGTAAAAAGCCGGCGGTTGTGCGGTGACGGTAAAAAACTGCGAAGCGGAAATAAGCTCTCTATGTTCAGAACCAGGCCCCGAAAGCTTCTCGCGACAAATTCGGAATCGCGTGTGTCAGTGGGGTAGAAAGTGTAACTGATCTATGTCCGTACGTTCAGCCAGGACATAAGGAATGCGAATCTCCTGCCGGACTTGTCTGTTCGTACAGCCGAGACTTGTCCTGATCAGTCTACCCACTATCCAACTCTTTTCAGTACGGTGCGCGGTGTTTCGGAGCCAGAACGGAACGGTGCAAATGTAAACAATAAACCCAGCATCGGCCTTTAATGCATTTAGTACATTTTCGGAAGAATGGTAGGATACACAGCTGGTCTATGTCAGTACATTCAGCCGAGACATAAGAATTACCTGATGAAAGTGGTAGTCCTGCTGGATTTGTCCGTTCGTGCAGCCAGGACTTATCCTGACCAGTGTATATACTAACCCACTCCTTTCGCGGGTTTTAGCAGGGTAGAAGATATAACTGATCTATGCCCGTGCGTTCAACCAGGACATAAGGAATGTGAATATCCTGCCGGACTTGTCTGTACGTACAGCCGTGACTTGTCCTGATCAGTCTACCTCCCACCCTACTCCTTTAGGAGCGGACGCGGGACATCACGGACCTAGGCTGGGATGCGTAGGGTGCTAGAATTACCTTTTATCCGGACGGCGGTCGGGCGGTGTGTGCGGCGGTCTAGCAGGCGGTCGGTCGGTGTACGGAGGAGATCTCAGAATGCTCTCCAGCAGGCGGTAGGTGTCGGTCGGAGGAGATCGCGGAATGATCTCCCTGACTGGAGGCCGCGCTGGGGAATTTATAGTCGGCAGATCGGCGCGCGTTTCGGTAGGCAATAGTGGGAGACGCGGTGGGCGCGCGCTTAATGCCGGTTTACATTTTGCGGACTATTTCGGAGACGCGTACACATTTTATAAATATTATAATATCCAAATAATTAAATCAAACTAAATTAAATACTTACGTGGACCCTGTAATTATAAAATAATGAAAAACAATAGTAACATCGTTACAACACATTAGGCCAAAAAAAAAAGTCGCGCGCAGCACAGTACACGTGATAGAAGTGAATACTTATTTATCGATCTCTTTCTCTCTCTCCACCTCATATTCATCCTATGCTCCATCTCACTTGCGAGACGAAAATTTTATAGATCGTGTCGTGACGCGACCTTGAAAAATCACTCTCATGCGGCCAAAGAAATATTCACTTCAAAAAAAAAAATCCCGAACGTCAAAATCACTTTTTCTACATTTAAAATCCACGAAAAAATTAACTCACAAGCAGTATGTGTATGAATCGCAAGCAATCCATCAAAGTCTGCGGGTGACGTCAACGCTATCAACAGCTAATAGTGGTGACGTCACCCGCAGACCATCCGCCGACTCGAAAATTGGCGAACCCTACTAGGTTGAGCAATCCTATTTGGTGAGTATTCATAGAGCTCCCATTACTTTTTTCTTCGCTATAATTAAATAAATAAACATAAAAAATGTTTGCTTAGGTAAATAAATATAAGAGACACTAAAATGATAACCAAACAAATTCAAGCTTTCTGGAAGAGTTTTGACCATAAGCTGTCAAACGATCTTCAAAGGGCGCTGTAACCAAGGCAATAAAGAAGTAAGAAGGTTTGGAATGGGCTTTGCGTCACTCAAATGAATCCAGGATGAGATAGCGCTAGTAAGGGCAGAAAATCTATTTGATCACCCGGATCTCACACTCTAACCCTGAGTGAGATAGCGCTAGTAAGGGCAGAAAATCTCATGGATGTTTTCTCACTCTATTGTTGGCCGCAAATATACGTATTGAGTAGATAAGCAAAGGGCCATTCCAAACCTTCTTACTACTTCATTGAATCAAGGGCATGACTGCGGTATTTACCGGTCGTTTCCAGAGTCGAATTCGATTCGTAACGCAGTTCAGTTCAGATCGAGAACGGAAAAAGTAGGTTCAATTGGATATACTGTCAACTATCACTATTCAGTTGTTCGTTTGGTGTAGAACAAACAACCGGATTCTATTTTTCAAGTCGAATCGAATTATCTCAATATCGAATACGACACCTCTGGACGTACCGTGTAATTCGCATGGAAAAATCAAAAAATAGAATCGCTATTTTGACAATTCGATACGAATTTCGACTCGACTCGTAAAATAGATTCCGGAATGGATGAATCAGGAGTAATCGGTTCGATCGGATTAGTAGTTTTTACTACATTCGATTAGTTATTCTTATCAATTTATCAATAAAAATGTCATCGGGAAAATGACAAACTTTACTTGACATTGTTTCCGCTTTCGGAAAGTGTGATCCGATTAATCGGTTCGATCGGATTAGTAATGTCATCGTTCGTAAAATGATCCGAAGTCGAGTACTCGCGTTCGGTAAGTGATCTCGTTGATTCGGTTTTCTCATATGTTTGGGATCTCGTTAACCCTGCTCTTGACGTGGGTAAAAAATTAATCTATCAGCCTTATCTATAGGTCTGTTTCTGCAGAAATCACAAACCAGTCAGAGCGAAATTTCATTGGTTGAAAAGAGTCACAAACAGTCAGAAAACTAGTTTCAACCAATGAAATTCGCTCTGACTGGTTTGTGATTTCTGCAGAAACACACCTTATGGTATCAGCAGGTCAATTCCGCGCACTGTCGAATTCTGTATCGCATTTCGTATTCCGTATTCCGTTTTCTACACGATTTCCCCTTATAGTGGGCGTGTTTATAAATCGATCTAACTGATCCGGCATCGGCATTATTTTCAGTTCACTTCTTGTGATCTAGATCAGAAATAGATCATTTTTTTGTTGGTGGGGGTAAACTGATCGAACTACAATCGAACACGTTCTGGTTCACTTAAATTGAACCAGATCGATGTAATTTGGTCAATCGATTGCAGCTCTGTACGTCACGCTGGGGAACAACCGTCGAACTGGGGCCCCCAAGGTTCGGGGCAATCATTGGGGCAACCAACCGATCATTTTGCTGTCAAATTTAAAATTTCATAAGGTTGAGAACGGGTAGACAAATGCCGAAATAATGTCATCCGAAGCGTTCTAGGTTAAAAAACTTGTCAAAAAATGCCGAAATTGTAATTTTTGGTTGTAAATAAAACCGAATTTTTGGCGACGACGATGACGTAGTCATCAATAGTTCGTCTTGTGACATCATTCCGGCGAACTACACGTTCAATATGACGTCATGAATTTCTCGCGAAAGCGTTTGTGTTCATGAAATCATGTGTGCCCTTCAGAGCAAATTGTCATACAGAGCTTTCGACTTTTGCCTCAAAGCCCAGTGATCAAAAGTGCTTACTGCTCAGTACACTTGGCGTTTATAGAACCATTGTTCCGAACTCTGCTCTAAGCTGGGTTGAACTCAGAACGTTCCACCTTGTGAAATGGAAGTTTTAGAGTTTACTCTTTTTACTCCTATCCTAATACGCGGAGGCAAATAATCTTACTCCGTCTACTCTTAAATATTACCCGAACTAGTGTAGAGAGCCGAGAATCAACCCCCTTTTAATGACAGCAATGACATATAATATGACAGGTGATTGTTTATATTTTTTTTGATTCAAGATTTAAATTTGTTTATTGCTAGATATTTATTTATTTCTATTTTCTATAAATTAGTTTTAGAATTTTTCTAGGATAAGAAAATATTGGCACTGGATCTACGAGCTTACTTTTTCTTTCTGTAGGTAGGTATTGACATTTTTATAAAATGCATTTTTTATTATTTTTCAACTTATGTTAAAAATTATATTCTAGCTTGAAGAACGTTATTCTTCCATTCTTGGATAATGGAAGTTTGTCGTCTTTGCTTGAAACTCCTCACGGGTTCCTTTTACAAACTAGAAGAATCCTATAAAAAGATCATTAATGACCTTATACCAGAAGTTGTTAGTAATTTTCTTATAAGTATATCACAATTCAAGTCTATAAAAGAATCAAAGCTTCGTTTGTTCTCTAATGTAATGTAAATCTAATTTCGTTGTTCAATTCTAGAACTTAGAAATATCATCGGACCCAGTAATTTGCACGCAATGCTTACTCTCAATAGATGAACTATACACCTTCAAAATGTTATATTCCCAAAACGAACAGCAACTGAAACATAAAATAAAAGATTTGGTTGGACCAAAATTATCAGAACAAGAAATTTTACAATGCCAACATTCACCAGAAAAAACCAAAGAAAGGTTGTGCAGGACTTGCTTGAAATGTATTGAAAATAATGCTTTTACTGTTTTGAAACCATCTTGTTGCGATGCTTATTTGGAAAGCATGCTACAGACATGTCTTCCAGATTTGGTGAGAATAGGAAACTTCATGTGTAAAAGAATAAAGTTTAATGCAGTTTTTTTTTTAGGATTTAGACATATCCCAAGACCCAGTAATGTGTGAAAAATGCTTTAATTTCTTACAAAAATTTCACAATTTGAAATCCGTATGTCAAGAAGTAGAAGAAAAATTAAAGAAATACCATCCAGAAAATTCTTTAATCGATTTGTATAATGTTGTTCTCGAGGAAAGTTTACCAAAAACAACTACAGATACCAATAATGATGCTGTAAATGTTAAAAATGAATTATTAGATGATATAAATGATGTCATTAATGGGTTAGATGATTCTGAAGATTTCTCAAACATCATTGTTAAGCAAGAGGAGATAGACATTAAATTAGAAGAGTAAGTAATTATTTTTTTCTAGTTAATAAATTTTGTGATGGTTATGAATTGATCGATAATGTCGCTAAAAAAAAATACGCGAATTTTTGTGAATAAGTGATCATAAGGTTTGGTAAGTGTGGTAAGTACTTGATTTTCTTTATCATGTCTTTGTCTTTGTTATCATTAGTTGTTCCTAATTTTTTTATCTCATTTATTAATTTTTGTTTATTAAAGCACAATTTCTAAAGATAATTAAGTATATCATTACAGTAAGTAACAAAAAAAAAAAACAATGTCAAAAATATTAATTTATTGAAATATGCATAGGATACCTAATATAAAGTAAATTTGTACACTTATCTGCTTGAATTGAGCAATGAAGCCAAGTTATCTTTGTTATTGGATAATAAATAGAGTAGATAAGGCAGCGAATTGGAATTACTGCTCAGAATTTGGTTAATTACCTGGAAAAAAAATAGAATTAGGTAATGAATTCATATTTGAGCGAATTACAATAATTTTTCTGAACCATTGAGAGCAGTTCATTTTTCAAATTTGACCAATAAAGAACATTTTCTGCAACTAAGAAATAGGTTCTTGATCGTATAGGACTGACCTCTCTGTGGTTTCCTAGTTTTTCAAACTGCCACAGATCATATAAGTTCTTGTTATTCGACTTTGATTTTTAAAGGATTTTCCTGTTATCTTGAAGTGACTCTCCAGCTGTCTTCATAATCAGAGTTAGAAGTTTGCCAATAAGTTTCAAGAAACTTTTTTTATTAGTCAGTTTTTCAAAAAATAATTACCAAACTTTACTTACATTCTGTATAAAAGGATCAGCCCAATCAGCATCTTCCCTATACATTATCGTTATAGCTTCTGGAACTATAGCTTCGATATCACCATTTATTAAAGGTTCCAAAAGCGGATCTCCACCCATTAATTCTCCAAAGTTACTCTTGAAAAATACATAACATAAGTATTGATTGATATAAGTCCTGTAATATTTTACCTTGCAACCAGCTACATAAAGTTTTACTGTAATTGGCATACATAAATGTGTAGAGTTCTTTGTGAGACTAGTCACAGCAGCTACTGAAAATTTGGTCATGTTGAGACTAAAAACATCAATAATGAATTAGTAATTCTTTTTATATGTTTAACACCTACTAAAAATCGCCTGTACCGTATATATCAAAAAGTCTATGAGCTCCAATGTATCCTGCCAAAGTATAACTGCCATTAATGTAAATAGTGGGAATAGTTAAGTTGAATATTTCAAAACCGTCGCTCACTAAAGTGAAAAGCCTTGTATCTGGCTCTTCTTGGGTGACATTCCCATTGGTAAAATCACCTCCAATTCTGGAAATATTTTATTAAAAAAGTTTGTATGTTAAACTAGAATCATTACGTTATAGCTGCATGGGACATATTGAGGTGAAAAAAATCAAAGTGTGTTGTTTGGGCACTGACAAGTCCAGTTGCATCCAGTGCATCTTTAATTTCTTTGCCAGATTTTTCGAGTAATGTAGATATTTCTTCAATATTTCCTAGAAATTATTTACTTAAATAAAAATCTAAGATAACAAGAGGACATACCAGTTTGTGTAGAACTATATCCCGATTTGAGTTTGAGACAAATCTCGACTTCACCATTGCAGATGTTGATTAAAATAATTAAAGCAAATATTGTGGGGATCTTCCTAAAATTACACATTTATAAAAATAAAATAAAAAAATAAGCTACAGATTTATTACATTTGGCTTTTAGAAACTATCAGTAGATACGCCTAGAAATATAGTCAAAAATAATAAAATCTAATCTTTTGTAATTTGAGAGTAATACATATTCAAGAATTTGATTGGTAGGTAGGTACTTGAGATTTTTTTAAGTACTTTTATTTTATAGTAATATTAATAAATGTGGGAAATTATCAAATAAAAAAAAAAACAGTGTTGCAGTTTTATAAAATTGAAATGTATTTGCATACATCTTTAATAATTTATTACATAGGTAGTTGCTAAAATATAGGTACTTACTTGAATAATTAGATTAAACTCTTGAACTTCAGCACTTTAGTATAAAATTAAATACTACACTTTATTCGTTGCTATAAATATACCTACGTAGTTTAAGTCACAAGGTGAATTAAAATTAGACTTTTTACGAAATTCAGGTAACCTCAATATGATTTGTGGTGAACTAATGGAAATATTGAAAAAGTTTAGTTCTAGTTGACTAAACCCCCAAACTCCATACATTGAATTTTTTTGAGATTTGAAGCCGAAATCTATGAAAAAATGCACTCAGAAAAATTGAAAAATTGATAAATCACCCCAAATTGCTTAACACGTTTTTATCTCAGGAACTATAAGTGAAAATGAGTTGAAATTTCCAGGGATTGTAGTTAGTTCCCTTATTAAGATAAGATTCAGTGAAAATTTCAGCTTTCTATCTATAATAGAAAAAAAGTTATGACCTTTCAAGTTTTCTAAAATCTAGATCATAAGGGTACCTTCTTACTAAAACGATGAAAGGACCCCGCACACTTCTTATGGGTTTTTGGTTTTCTGTCAAACTCAATGAAATTTTGCTATGTGTTAAACCTTGACTTCCTGATAAAAAGTTCGCATGGGCCCGAACCAATCCTATGATTATAGTCTAGGAGGCAGTGACGATTTTCGGTTCTTATTTTCCCAGTCACGAAACATGGATAGAATTCTAGGGTTAGTAATTCTAAGCAAAATTCATATATTTTTAGGGGGGGTTTTCCGATGGGTTGAGGCGCAAAATGCGTTAGAGCTTACGAATGCACAGCCCTTTTTCTTTCAGTGATAAAACTAAGTCAACTAACCCGAAGTATACTGAAGTTACGTAATAAAATAGTCCAGCTAATCTGTGAGTATGGATAATATGTCTGGCAAGTGGAAAATTGAAGATCCGAAAAACTTCAACCAGACTAACTTTCCACTATCTGAGATAAGCCAAATTGCTATGTTCATATACTTTATGTTCTACTGAAGTGGATGTGATATATTTATGACTGGGAAAATAAATTTACTTGTATTTTTCATTGATCTAGTGAACCCATCCGAAAATTTTTGCGAAACTCAAATATTCTTGTTTTGTATCACCAAGAGAACAAACTATTTAATAGACACCAACTGGGAAAATAAGTGCTAAAAAATTTCACTGCCTCCCGGACTATTAGTTTTTGAGATACAGGTACTTTAATGTCCAAGAAATGTACACATTTTATATGTATTCACATCTACCTGTCACCTAATAATAGGTCTGTTTCTGCAAAAATCACAAACCCGTCAGAGCGAATTTGATTGGTCGAAAACAGTCAGAAACATTCAGAAACAGTCAGAAAACTAGTTTCAACCAATGAAATTCACTCTGACAGACCCGAGGACAGACCTATTAATAGGTGACAGGTAGATGTGAATGTATATAAAATGTGTACATTTCTTGGACATTAAACCACCTGTATTTCGGAAACTATTCATAGTATCGGGTTGGACCCATGGGAACTTTTTATCAGTAAGTCAAGATATACCACGTATCAAAATTTCATTGAGTTTGACAGAAAACCAAAAATCCATAAGAGGTGTGCTTTCAATTTTTTTTTTTTTGTTGTGATTTTGTATCCTAATGGTCAATTAACATCCTCCAAACTCCATACTCTTGATTATTCTCAGATTTGAAGCCGAAATCTATGAAAAAAAGCACTCAGAAAAATTGATAAATCACCCCAAATTGCTTAACACGTTTTTATCTCAGGAACTATAAGTGCAAATGAGTTGAAATTTCCAGGGATTGTAGTTCCTTTATTGAGATAAGATTCAGTGAAAATTTCAGCTTTCTATCTATAATAGAAAAAAAGTTATGACCTTTCAAGTTTTCTAAAATCTAGATCATCTACCTTCTTACTAAAACGATGAAATTTCAATTTTTTTTTTTTTGTTGAGATTTTGTGTCCCAATGGTCATTTGGGATCCCCCAAACTCCATACAGTAAATTATTCTCAAATTTGAAGCCGAAATCTATGAAAAAAGGCATTCAGAAAAATTGATAAACCACCCCAACATGCTTAACACGATTTTATCTCAGGAACTATAAGTCCAAATGAGTTGAAACTTTCAGGGATTGTAGTCCTTTACTAGGATAAGTATCGCTGAAGTTTTCAGCTTTCTGTCTCTAATAGAAAAAAAGTTATGATTTTTTAAAGTTTTTAGATATCCAAATCATAAGGTTCACTGAAAATTTCAGCTTTCCAAGAATATGTTTCAAGTTAGTAATGACTTCCGCCTTTCTAAAGTTTCCCAGAAAATTAAAATGCTGCATTTCCGCTGAAAAAAATTATTTTCCTAACAAGTGCGCAAAGTGTTACTTTTCCGCACGCAAACACAGTTATACGAACGACGCGAAGCGGAGTTCGGATACGTGTTTGCGTGCGGAAAAGACACTTTGCGCACGTGTTAGGAACAAAATTTTTCCTTCGAGCTTCATATCAGGTAGGTAATAACAAAAATTAAAAAAAAAAACGATAATTTGTTTAATTATTTTTAATTAACTTGAAGGGAACCTATGCATTTATCAAAAAATTACATAACAAAAAAAAATAACAGAAAATCCTCGTCAGAGCTGTTCATCTTAAAGCGTTTAAATTTGATGAGAAAATGTGTAGATTTTTGCATATAAATAGAGAACAAATCTGACAATGTGTCAAAGTTAATTTATTTTTGGTGTTTGTATAGATGTTGGCTGATATAGAAACAGAGGAAAAATTTGTCATCATGTGTCAAAGTCGACAGGTGCACTTATTGTTGTTTGACAATTATAATTACTTTTCGGCACTCAGTGCGGATAAGGCCTGTATCCGCACTGAGTGCGGAAAAGTGTAACTTTGAGCCCGGAAATACGTGCGGAAAAGTACTACTTTGCGCACGCTCGTAGGAAAAAATTATTTTCCTCTGTTCAGGAAGCGGCCCCAATTTGAAAATAGATACAATAATGAAATGTTCGGATGATGAATCCAATTTCCGTTAAAGTTTGCCGGAAAATGGAAATGGTGCATTTCCACAACCTTTCATTAATATCTTTGCACTTAATAAGCCAAAAAATAATGCATCTGAAGTATTTCAACAACAGACATTATAAAACCTCGCTCAATTTTTAAGGCGTCTGTCATGTGTAATGCCCAGTATTTTTATTTATCCTATCAATTAACAACTTAATATACAATTTTTAATATCAGAGCAAAGTCGTTTCATTTGTACCAATTCCATAAGCAAATATTTGATATTCCCATTCAAATGTCTAACTGTAACACATTAAGAACTTTTGACCTGGCAACGCACATGAGAGTATTACCAAAAAGTTAAAAAGACATGAAATATTTCGTGCTTCTTTTTGTGGTTGCAGTTATAGTTTCTAGTTCAAAAACTGAAAATGTTACCAAATTTCAAAGGAAAAATATTTTTCTTTCGAGAAAAAAAAGATACGTGCAATGGCCCAAAGGTAGCAATTTTGTGGTATGTAAGAATCTCAAAGTATTAAAAAAAATTGATTTTGTTTTTTATTTCAGATAAATTTTACGTGCACAAAACCACTATTAAGATACCAACCATTAACATGGAACACAGTATACGAAATGGATGTACCATTTGCAGTTCCAGCAGATAATAAAATATTTTTTAAACACAGGACCAAAAGACACGTAATGGAAAGGAAAAATTTGTTAGAACATTTGGAGGATTTTATGACCCTGTAAGAAATGTTATAGTAACTTGTTTAGAACTTAAACATTTTGTTTTTAGAGTAGGACTTAATGGGCGAGCGTGTATAAATAGATTACTATGCGAGTCGCATACATTTACTCAATCTGGAAATACATCTATGTTAAGGGAACTTATCAAAGTACTTTTTAGGTAAATTGTTTATAATCCTAAAATTTTTTACTAACAATTTCATTTTCAGTTCTTTTCTCGATGACGACCACTTTAAGGAATACAGTAATAAATGTGAAGAGGAAAGTTTTAATGCATGCCCTACTTCAATGTTGAATATCTTCCTGAATTTGCCAAATAAAGATGAAAATTTGTTTCAACCAGTTTAATTTAAATAAATATTTTTCAAAAAGTATTAAATGTTTTTAGAAAACGATGTTGCTGACCAAATTTTTGAGAGATGAAGTGGAATGCTTGTATTTTTTCGGTTGTGACTGAAGTTATACCTAAAAGTGATATAATTTTGCTCCTTACCAAAAGTTATACATACTGGACATTTTTAAATGTTGAACGTTAACTATTTAGTTTAACATAAACTTTGATTTGTTGTTATCAAGCGTTTATTCGACCGGTATGAATACTGATAAGACACTCTTAGCGGTTTCGCCTAGTTTATTATTACTGAAAATGGACTGGAATTTTCCAACTAATCAGTCTTATGAATAAAGTATAGCAAATGCTTTCACTCTACATCAGTACCGTTTTGCTGCATTAAAGTTGAATCTGTTTACGTCAAAAAACTTGAGCAAAAGCATTCACTTATGTTTTATTCATATGAGCCATTATAAACGGAAAAATAGCAAATGCGCAAATTTTTGAACTTTTACAAAAAACTAGCCAAGATGTCTCAGATATAAAGCAGGAGCTAGCAAACTATAGAGAAGAGACTGATTCTTTAAGCCACAGTGAAATCTATAGAAAATGAAAACAGTGAAACACTAAACCTGAAGAACGAATTTTAAACCAGAAAGATTTCCTAAGAAAGAAAAATATTCTTATTTTTGGACTTTCGGTAAGAGATCCTTTTTCTCTTCATTCGATAAAGCGAATAGTGATTATAATACTTACCTTCAAAATCTAAATGAAACAAGAGTGATAAATATTTTATTAAATAACATTCCAACTTAATCTAAAGGCTTATCGTTTAAGCCAACTTCAACTAATCATCTATATTCCGCGTGTGGCTGAATTAACCAAAAAAAAAAACCCTATTTAATTAAACAACAGTTCTTCTACCATTTCCCCACGATGCCTAAACTAGCTGAATTTAGCCACACGCGGATTGTCTGATTCAAGACATACCTAAAAAAAAAAAATTATTCTTTTACATTCACTTAGTGAAAAAGATTTTAATCTCTTCCTCCTCTTCAGCTTCCAACTCTTTCTTAGTTTTTTTAACCAAAGAAAAATTATTTCTCGTCGATCCTTTATGCTCTCTAGCGTTGTGCCGTTTCAAGGTCATCAAATAAAACGTTTTAAAGTTGCACTTATCGCACCGATGTATTTCGTAAATCTGATGCACCGTTCTGAGATGCCTTTGAAGGGCATTACGATTTCTGTTGCTGTACTGACAGAGCGAACACTGATTGCCGTGGATTTTAATTTCGTGCCGTTGCAAAGAAAATTTGTAGCTGGTTTTGAAATCGCATTTCGGATAGGAACAACAGTGATTTTGCATGTCTTCGTGTATGGAAATGTGCTTTTTTAAGTTCAGTGAATAGTTTGATTGGAATGAACAGAATGGGCAATGGAATTTTTCTGCAAAAATAATTATTTATTAGTAATACTTACAAATAAATATAATTACCTTTTATCATGTGATCTTTTTCAATATGCTTTTTCATTTGTTCCTTAAACATGGTCTTATATTTGCACAAGTGACAAAAATGCATTAATCGATCTTCTTCGTTGAAACTTGTATGGGTGGTTAACATGTGCATTACGTAATGGCGCTTATTTGGCATTGTAAAAGCACACTGACTGCACGAGTAGTGAATTTGAGATTTGTGATTCTTTAAGACCTCTTTCATTATTTCATCCAACTTGTTAGGTTCTTTCTCGGGGATTTTTTCTGCTTCTTCTTCTGCATCTCTAAAATTATTAGTACATTTTAAATGACTGAAAAATTTTGCAACAATCTGAGTATTTGTATAACTTTAAATTAAAATGCATAACATTGATGGAAAATAGTTTATTTACACAAGAGGATAAAGAAAATATATTATTGTTATTCAGTCTTCTGTTGGTTGATGATACTTCATTTTTGATACAGTTGAGTTAGCTCAAAATCCTGCAACATAAGGGACTTCTATATTTTTAAAAGCTATTATTTGAATGATTTTACATATTTGTATTAGGAAATGTATATTGATTGATTTTGATTCTATTACATGCAATATTGTTGTAATGACAAACTTACCTACCACAGCTAACAATGTCGGTATATTGATTACATGAAATAGTTATTTACCTAAAAATTCGGAAAGTGATACTTTACCCCACACAACGGCAATTAACAACCATTAAGGACAGTAAAAGCACTTTCCGCATATGTTAGGTACAAAAATTTACCTATGACCAGCTACATCTCCAAAGAGGCATTATTGAAATTCCTAAAAGCGAAGGGATTTCTGATTATAAATACTAAAGTCTACTTTAGCACACTCTATACCGTCTACTACTACTATGGTAGAAATATAACTTAACTTACTAAACCGCACACTATGCAGTAGAGTAACTTTACAGCATAGTGTTTGGTGAAATGCTACTTTCCACTTGCAAATTAGTGCGGTAAAGTGCACTTCGCTCATAGGTAAAAACATGTAGCAGCCAATAAATTGTGTTCGGTAATATGATTTTATTTACAATGAAGTTCCTGTTCTTGATGAGTTTGACTGCCATCCTAAATTGTGTTAAAATGGAACAGTTTTAATTGAAAATTTAAAGTAATACCGAGGAGTAAACCGCGGCAAGAATCTACAGTTTTTAAAATTTTTGAAAACTGGGCATGCATTACATCTAGAGATTGACTGATTTCCCAAAGATTTCTCATGATTCCCTTAAGATTTCCCTTGACTTCCTCTGATTTCCTTATGATTTCTCTGATTGCCTGATTTCCCCGAATTTCTACTCCAGATTTCCCTTGTTCCTTGTTCGCTGTTTACCCCTCGACCAATACATAAAATTGACCAAAAATCAATATTTTCACTATAAAAATAAAATGTTTAAAATCCTAGAAATTGGTGTGTTTTTGATTATTTGTTTTTAGATAAAACTTCTAGTTATCCACCATTCGATATAAACAAACGTATTTGTAAAATTTTACAATTTGTTATACATAAACTTATGATAAACTTCTACAAAACAGAACACAACAACAAATACAAAAAAGTGAGGTTTGGTTATGAAATATGAATGACGAGTGACGTTTTGTTGATGATGTCATTCTTCTTTTTTTAATTTCGACAAATGCATCTAAAAAGAAGAGAAGATTGTAGGGTCTGTGGTTAGGTCAATGAGGTTAGGTTGACTCAAAAACCGTTTTTTTTTTTTTTGTGACAGTTGTTGGCATTTTAAATTTTTAAAATCAAAACAAACCACAACAATATCATATTTTTGATTTGGTGCATTTTCCAAAAATGAATAAGAAATTGAAGAAGCTGGCCCCAGTTTCCTTGAACGACAGATTCAGAGATATTCCAAAAATTCAAATATTCGAACCCTTAGAAATAGATGAAGTCGATGAATCGTGTACGGACCCGTTGAACAAGGGATTTACGGACTTTCTTAACATATCAGAGGAAAATGAGCAGCTAACGGATAACGAAGGGGACGATACTTATTTGGATCTTGATGTAGACTGTAAGGACTTTTACAAATCTCATAAGCCAAAGAAACAGAAATTTCAATCTGTGAATGATGTGTTTGCGGAACTTGAATCGCTGTCTGCAGCTACTTGTAGTTTTCGTGGAATTTCCCATCAAAGTGAGTATATTTTCAATTTTCTCCCTTCCAAAATGAAACTCTATAGTCTATTGCCAATAATCCAATAGTGGTTGACATTATTACTATACAATAAATATTATTGTACAATGTTTCTTTGGAACTTTAATAGGTAACCAACTCAATGGCAGCATTCATGAAAGTGACCATAAGAAAGACTATTCACCTTCAAATTGCACTGTTTGTGTCTCATCTCAGGTATGGGGTGTGACGAGGGGTCAACCACTCTGTAAAAATGTGTACACGTATTGCGAAAATGTCGGTATTTCGTAAGTATTTCGCGAAATTCAAAGTATTTCGGTGGTGGTAATTCGAACCTAGTTTTTTGTGGTATTTCCGTACTTCGAAGTATTTGGAGGTAATTCGAAGTATTTCGAGGTAATTCGAAGTATTTTGAGGTAATTCGAAATATTTCGAGGTAATTCGAAGTATTGCGCGGTAAGCCGAGGTATTTCAAGCTATTTAAAAGTAGTTTTTATTTATTTACTGAGAACAATTAATTCCTTATCACCTAAAATTGGAATATTATAGAATGAAAACTATAGTCCATCTTGGAACAAGCTAAATATGTTGACATAATTAGGAGATACTGCAGATTAATTGAAACAAATGGAGAGATATACTACCTGATATGTATAAGTGATCAACTAACCAGTGTGTGTCAGTTAGTTAATAGTAAAGGGTCATTCAACGAGGACCGAACAGGGAATTATTTCTGACTTTTTCTGTATTTTTGAGAAAATTTAAAATAGCCATTTGGAACATTTTTTTTTCTGGAGAACTCAAAAATAATGGTACCAAAAAATCATTTGAACCAAAAAAAAAAAAAAAAAAAGAATTACGCCCATGGATGAGCTGTTTTTTAAATGGAACACTCTGTTTTTTGTATGATTTTTGGAGAAGTCTCATTTTTTTTACATGTATTTATTAAAAATGTGTGATGTTCCGATAGCTGTTTTTATTCTATCTTAATGTTTTATTCTTATTAATTTTGCCTTTACCTGTTTAATACATGGCAAGAAAATTCAAAGATTTCATCACCTATGAACACTGGCGTAGCCAGAGGGGGCAAGGGGGCATTTGCCCCCCAAGACCTTTAAATTTTTTAAATAATTCTTCAAAATTAAAATAAATAGTCCCAAAAATAGCGGAAAGAAGCCTAAAAAAAGGGCTTTGCACCCGCCGCTTTGCCTCTGTCAGCGGTCGCGGAGGGGCCGCAAGAAACACTTCCTGCAAATTTGCCCCCCTCCCCCCCAAGACAGAAGCCTGGCTACGCCAGTGCGTATGAACCAATTAAATCCAACAGGTAGAGCTAAAATTATTAGGCATAAAACATTAAAATAAAATAAAAACAGCTATCGGAATATCAAATATTAGGTTCCACAGAATAGACGTAAAAAATGAGACTTTCCCAAAAACACGGTGTTCTATTTAAGAAACAGTTCAACCATGGCGTAATTCTTTGGTTTTTGGTTCGACCGATTTTTTGGTACCATTTTTGAATTCTCCAGAGAAAAATATTCCAATTGGCTATTATGGATTTTCTCAAAAATACAGTTGAAGTCGAAAATTGCCCCTGTTCAGTCCTTGTTGGATGACTCTGTACCTAACAGCATTGTAGAAGTAACAGTCATCTGTATCACTAACTATTGATTCAATTGTCTCTCCTGTGTGTCCGAATAAAGTCCATCATATCAAAAGACACAAAAATCTGAGCAAAAATTCTTCACTGCGATCCACAACAATACTTAATAGTTATCAACGAGAATTTCTTAGAAGCATTGCGGGATTTCGCGCGGTAGTTCGAGGGTATTTCGCGTACTTCGACGGTAATTCCATGGTATTTCACGTACTTCGACGGAAATACCTGGCATTTCGAGGTACTTCACGGTATTTCTAGGTACTTCGAAGTATTTCGGAGGTAATTCGGGCCAAGTGTACACGTATTTCGGAAAGTGGTTGACCCCTCGGGGTGCGAATAGTCCATATGGTCTAAACATATCATTTCTGCAGAAGAAAGCAATTCGTTTTATAACAAACATTGGCTAAAGGTACCCAGTTGCAGAATATCCTGACGTTATGCTCTTTTCATCCTTTAGACAGCCTCACTCATTCATAAAGACAGACTGAGCATCCAGATTCAGGATGTAACTACTCCTTACAACTGCTCCTGCCAATTTCAATGAAAGAACTAAAGAACTAACCAAAAAGTCACTTATTTATATTTATAATGGCCGAAAGTTTTTCAACCATCTGTTAAGTCTGCCAACAGTGTAAGATGCTTGAGACGGCTTCTTAAGGGTATTCTTGAGAGGCAAACCACTCCCCGCAATACATGTACATTTTATTAAAATTTCTTCGAAATCACAAGGAAATCCTGCATTCTCCGGTAGATAGTCGCCAAAATAGCCCGAAATCCCGCATTCTTCTTCGCATTCGCAGAAATCACGTTCGCGGTCGCGGAAATCATGTTCGCAGTCGCAAAAATCGTGTTCGCAGTCGCGGAAATCTTGTGAATGCGGTTATAGGGGCGTGTGTAAAGGACCCCGCAATATTTAGACGGAAATTGGTTACCAGTGATATTTGGATGAAATTTAAATATGTTATTGGGAATACCGTAAGCAACATTTTTTACCCTGGGCACAACCCTGTATATATGACAGGTGAGGCGTGGTTAGCTGTCAAATATTGGAATCTTATTTCTACCAAGTCGACCAAGTTAGGTCGAAAAATGTCAACCATTAGGACACCTGTCAAAACCCTGCCAAACGGCAGCGCTCATCTTTTCCCGTTTTCAATATTTTATGATGTCATTTGACATTTTTAACTTGTATGTAAATTCTGAATTCAAAAATTTCAAAAAAAAAGACAGAACTGTCAAAACCTGTCATTTGTTTTAGTAGAAAAAATACTCCAATCTGTTTTTTTTTGGTTTCAAGGTAGGTACTTAGTTTATTGGTGATAAAACATTAAACAAAGTTTATGCATGTCACATTTTGACTGCTATCAGAATCTTTAAATAGCTTTTTGGTTCATATTGAGTTTGTTTGCTTAGTTAATTTCTACAACTAGAATGATAGGATAATACAATAATACAATAGAACTAAACCAATTTTATGCCCGTTGTAGAACTTCACTAAGCAAACAAACTCATGAACCAAAAAGCTATTAACAGATTCTGACAGTTGTCAAAATGTGACATGCATGAACTTTGTCTAATGTTTTATCACCAATAAACTACCTTGAAACAAAAAAGAACCAGATTGGAGTATTTTTTTCTACTAAAACAAATAACAGGTTTTGACAGTTTTGTCATTTTTTTTGAATTTTTGAATTCAGAATTTACATTCAAGTTAAAAATGTCAAATGACATCATAACATATTGAAAACGGGAAAAGATGAGTGCTGCCGTTTGGCAGGGTTTTGACAGGTGTCAAAATTGTGGACATTTTACGACTTGACTTAGTCGACTTAGTAGACATCGAAACTTCGTTCATCAAAATCTGCCATAGTCACTCTGCTTTTGGATACAGTGGCTAAATAAACCTTTACATACAGTGGCGACAATAGAGGTTTCGCCGCCATCTTGTTCCCAACCTCTTGTTACTTTTAAATATTAATATATAGGATTTAAATGGACATCTATCATAAAAAATTGAAATCGACGTATTTGATGACCATTATTAGGTCCATCAAATACGTTGTTTTCCATGATTTATGATGAATGTTCAATGTTCACCTAAATCCCATATATTCATATTTAAAAGTAATAAGGGGTTGGGAACAAGATGGCGATGTTTTCAATATAAATATATGGGATTTTAGAACCAATCAAAAATGAGACAGCAATTGTCGCCACTGTGGGTTATAGAGTCACTGTACTTTTGGATATAAGATTCCAATATTTGACAGCTAACCACGCCTCACCTGTCATATATACAGGGTTGTGCCCATGGTAAAAAATGTTGCTGACGGCATCCCCAATAACATATTTAAATTTCATCCAAATATCACGGGTAACCAATTTCCATTTAAATATTGCGGGGTCCTTTCTCGTCGCAGCCTCCGAAATCGCCCGAAATCAATGTGGCAATCGCAAGTATTTTTTTCGCAATCCCTTCCGCAGTCCTGCGATAATCATTTTGCAGTTCCGCAATCTTGGAAATTATTGCGATTATTTCAGCAATCTTGGAAATCATTTCGATTTTCATGGCAGCCCTGGAAATCGCAATGATTGCCAAGAAATCATAGGATTTCCGCAATACGTGTACATTTTTAAGAGGAGTGGTTTGCCCGAGGGTTAGCCCTACTCCCCGCAACACATGTAAATTTTATCTAAATTTCTTCGAAATCACAAAGAAATCCTGCAGTCTTCGTTAGACAGTCGCCAAAATAGTCCGAAATCCCGCATTCTTCTTCGCATTCGCAGAAATCACGTTCGCAGTCGCGGAAATCATGTTCGCAGTCGCGGAAATCTTGTGAATGCGGTCATAGGGGTGTGTCTAAATTTCTTCTCGCAGCCTCCGAAATCACTCGAAATCAATGTGGCAATCGCGCAATCGCAAGTATTTTTTTCGCAATCCCTTCCGCAGTCCTGCAATAATCATTTTGCAGTCCTGCAATCTTGGAAATCATTTGGATTTTCATGGCAATCTTCGATATCTCTTAAATTCACATGGCAGCCATGGAAATCGCAATGATTGCCAAGAAATCATAGGATTTCCGCATTACATGTACATTTTTTGGAGGAGTGGTTTGCCCCTCGGGTATTCTATCAACGAAGGCATACCTCTCGGCATACCTATTGAGTATACTCTAGAAGAATTTTTCAAAGAAAACTTTGTGAGGCTTTTTTGATATCTATGTGTTATTTTTTTTTTGTCATGTATTTTTCTATTTGTTCTTTTATTCTTTAAATTCTAATGATTTTACATTTTATCCATTTGGTTTTAATGTTTTTTATATTGGATATTTTATTTTTG